CGGGCAAGGGAACATTAGGTCCGTTTATTTTTCTCATCAAAGGGGTTTTTGGGCTGCACTTTGTCTGGTCCCTCACCTAGGACCTGTCTGCCATGGGTGACCCTACTAAGGGCATAAAGCCCCTGACAGCATAGCTCCTAGGATCATTGGGACACTCAAACCCCTCCACCACGGTAAGGTGGCAGCCCAGGGATGGTTCGTCTCGTGGGCTCAGAGAAACGCATAATTGACACTGAGCGTTTCTCGTGTCACAAACAGGCCCACAGCTGCTATATCAATCTGAGTCAAAATGCTCCGTAAGAGGATGATTAAAGGTTGTTCTGTCTCTGACAACTTGGAGACAAGAAGAAAACATGGCTGCAGCATACGATAATCGTGCTGGACACCAGATTTCTGTCCATCGACTGCTGCAGAAAAGGATAGCATGTCGTCCAGTGGACATGAAGTGGCCTCTACGCCTTTCTCTGTACAGCAGCGTTGAAAAAACTGACCACTTGTTGTGAACAGCGCTGTGGTGGTTGCAGCACGTGAATCCTGAATCGTACGCACTACATCTTGAGAGAGATCCATCCTCTCAAAAAGATCCGCACAGCGGTCAGACCACAGGTGCTGGCCTAATCTGATTAACTCCTGATTGTTCCTCCCACCTTGAGGAGAGCGTCCTCCCTCCACGGCAGGTTCCACGAGTGCCCTGATAACAAGTGTCGTAGGCCTGGGAACCATGATGCGTTCACGCACTTGGGGCAGAGGAGCTGCCAGTCCCTCCTTCTGAGCTTGGTTCAGAAAACCGTGATACCAGAGGGAGAGAGGAAGGTGAAAAAGCATTACGACCACAGGCTGTGAGCAGGCACGTCCACCCCAGCGGTGGATCGTCTCGTGGCTCCACGATAATTATAGTTGACATTGAGCGTTCTCTCGTGTTGCTACACGTCCACAGGCGCTGACAGGATTTCTGCCATGTCTGAGCCATAGCTCTGGGTGGAAGGTCCCAGGTCCCCGTGCCATAAAGGACCGTCTTTAGACATAACATCCACCCCTTGTTCGGAATACATGAGATGTACCCTACTCCAATGGAGAGTAGATTGGGTGTGCCCCACACAGCATCTGTCTCACAATGTGGCACATGGGTTGAGCCCATACATCTCCTGCCAGTATGTATGCAACAGTCACTGCTGTCTGTGTGAATCAAAAAACCCTGATGATTCTGCAGCTCAAGATCAGTGTTGAGTCACATTCAAAGATCCCGTGCGACACTCCAAAAACATTTCAATGAGCTGCTGTGTGGAGAACCACAGCGGCCCCACAACTTGTTAAATGTGTGTGCCTCTGTGAGAAACTGACATGTGTGACGTAGGTCTGCTGACGGAAAAACAGCTGATATCACTCAACCGGTTCACGTGAGTTGCACTGCTGCTACCTGTCTGTACAAACTGCTCAGCAGCAGCAGCAGGTGTCCAGATAAAGCAGAATTAGAGCGGCTCGGGCGCATAATGGAGTGTTGTTTCTCATAGTTCAGAAATTGACAATCTAGAATAAATCTCATCTTTCCAGTTCATTGGGACCAGGAAGTGATGAGAGAGGGACCTTGCGTTTTCCTCTCCTTCTGAGACTCTAGAAATTACATTTAAAACAGAATTTCCTGAACTTCTGCGAGAGGGGACGAGATCTGTTCATAAATGACAGAAAAAACGTCACAGAGTTCCTCCACACCGGGTTTTGAGCTGGACTGCAGCGTGAATCCCCGGATGAAAACGGTTCGCCCATCCGTCTGGAGCGCGCACTCATTGCCACCCATTTATAAGTTATAAAGCGGGCACGCATTTATGCTGTGAAACTCACATGCGTGCTGATGTGAGCTGGAGCGCGCTGAGTGAGAAAGAAAAAACACGCGCGTCCCCGAGCATGCAAGACGTTGTGTGGAAGCAGCTCATCTGTGTTGTGCTCACGTTGTGTGCAGCTGCTCCGTGTAAACGCCTGGGAAGCGGGTGCGCGTATGAGCCGACGTGCCCTGAAGGGTCGTGTGTGCGCGTCCTCATTCATGCGACGCATTAAGCCAGGATTGCCGCGGGGGCGCGCGTTGGCACTGGTGCGGTCAGGAAGCAGCACACAGCATCGGTAGAGCGAGGTTACCACTGGCTCGGTCTGCAGAAACATGTTCATTGTTGGCTGCGAATCACGAGAGCTTTTGAGTGATTCCACGAGCTACAATATTAATTCAGAAAACCTTCTTCGAGGATGTATGAGCCGAGCCGCTGTGAGGCTTGTGCAGCTGCTGACGCCGCAGGAGCGCGCGTTGGCACTGGTGCGGTCAGGAAGCAGCGCGCGGCATCGGTGGAGCGGGGCTACCACTGGCTCGGTTTGCAGAAACACGTTCATTCTTGGCTGCAAGTCACGTGAACTTTTGAGTGATTCCACGAGCTGCAGTATTAATTCAGAAAACCTTCTTCGAGGATGCCGGAGCCGAGCCGCTGAGAGGCTTGGAAAACTGCTGACGCCGTGGGAGCGCGCGTTTGACACCACTGCGATGAAAAAAATGTGTGTCGCTTCTGTCGAGAGCGAGATATGTTGCTGAGCTCGTACCGCGGTCTCACGTTAATGTTGACGTGAACGGCGGGCGCTGAGAGCTGCGTGCGCGCTTTCATGCCGTGGGAGCGCGTATCGGCACCGCTGACAGTGAATGAAAAACAACCTTAAAAAGGTTCATTCGTGATGAGTGTGTGTGATGGGGCCGCTTGTCAGATAAACCATGCTGACAGCCTGGCTGAAAGACACTTCATCATAAAATTAGGTTTATTTTACATCGTGTCATCAACACACCTCCAGCAACCCGACACCTGATTACCTTCCCTTGAGCTCTGTTTATTGTCCTGGAGGGCCCCCTGTTGGCGAAGTCCGGGAAAAAAAAAGAACTTCCGGATGCCGGGGACGTCTGACGGGAGGGGCTGGCGTGGCAGAGCTGGTGAGGCGTTGTGCAGCCGTGGAGCATCTTGAAATGATCTCTCGTTGATAAAAAGAGGACCTCCAACAAACCTCCTGCAGCTCTCCTGAGAGGAAGGTGGAGTGACGAGCCAGGAGAACCTCTGGGACCTCGTTCTCCGGCTGCAATGCGGGGCGGCAGACAGCAAAAGAGGCGCACCGGTTGAGGATGATGTCAGCTGCCCTGTAGACGGAGCGTACTGCAGGGGCCGGCATCGTCGTTAGCAAGCAGCCGCTACGAGAGCGGAAGAGTCGAAGGACAGAGGGCCACGTCTCTTCCTGCCTCTGAACGTGTACGCCAACAGCGTAACATGTTGTTCGCTGCGGCCATGTGGAACACATGCTGGTGAGCTTAGTTGGAGAGCGGTGTCACCGTGTCATCGGTTATGCTAACCAGAGGCACGGGACGCTGGTCCACCTCGCCATCTTGCTCCAATGAAGCCTCCATCAGGCTCGGCTCCAGGGGGCACGGAGGGACTTTCCGCTCAGTGAACCCCTGCTCTGGAGATGGGTGCGGACTGTGAAGACCGGCTCCCCCAATCTACCAGGAAAGAACCCGTCTGTGGCCTCGCCCGTAGGACGTCCTGTTGGAACACGAGGCCATATGGATCAAGACGGTGAGCCGGAATGGAACCCAGTAAACAACCTTCCCACCGGATCATCCGAACTGACGGGAAAGGCGTGGGACGTAAAAAAAGGGGTCCCTTCATGTCAGCTGCCTCCTGGGTTACGCCGGGCAACCCCTTAGGGCGCCGTCGGCTGGGAGCGGTGTGATCGCCGGTGCGAAACGAGGTGGGATGGGGTGAGCATTCACTCAGCCCCCCTCCACCGACACGACGCTCTCCAGGAGGGAATGAGCAGCGGGGGGCTGCAGCTGAGCGCCGCCTGTCCCGGAGGAACCATCCGATTCGCTCCGAGGGTCAGCGATAAGAGGAAAATTACAAGATGGCGTTGTCCAGCGTGTAGTGACCTGTCACTGAGAAATATTCCTCGGCGCTTACCTTGAAATAAGACTGCTCCTCAGCTTCTCCTCGAGGAGGAGAACTCACCGGACGACCGGAGGTCGACTGCCGGGCCAAGCATTCTTAACAAAGGTTGGTCATCTACACAACCTTCCTTCTTCGTTCTTCTGACAGTGCTATTAGCTCGCTGAAGAAAAAATGGGAGCCGATTTCCCGCTCTTAACGTAATTTATACGGACCGGGTGGGGCCCACACAGCAGGTGGGCATGAACTAAATTTTTCAGTGTAATGCTCCGCATAATGGGATAAACCCACTAAGCAACAGCCTTAAAGGGCGAAGCTTATACGAAATAGAACATGTTGGTGTAACTTGCTTTCCAACACTGACAGTGTTGGGTGGAGCATGTGGGCAGCGTGGCAAAGTAAAACGTAATGCCGTTGCAATACGTTTGGCTCTAAATTCCACAGATTTGAGCCGAGGTGCACCAAAATCAGTCAGTGTCAGTGTTCCTGCTGCCACTCACAGAATGCACCCCACCACAGGAGGTAAACCTATAACTGATTCAAGCTGAGCCTGACCGGGCCCCACAGAGGCCTGACGAGCCCCTGCCCCAGACCTGGCTCCCAGTAACACACTTTACTAGGGACATTACTAGGACAGTTAGGGACATCAAGCTCCCTGTGCACTTCTGTCCATGAGTACTGTAATCTAAATTACTCTTTGTCTGGGTTGTCACTAGTATCAGTTCACCTGGGAAGACCCTACCACCCTACCAGGGGCAATTGCTCCTCATTCAGGCACAGATTTCTCGTTTAAAAAAATTAAAACTATAGGATAGACCTATTATATAAGTCCAGGAAGAGTTTCCAGGACAGTTGCTGACATTTATAGAACATTAATACGAGTTGGTATCTATTTTTACACGTGTTATAATGGCTGCATGTTGGGCCCCTCTGCAGGCTGTGCCCTGCACTGCGGCGGCTCATCTCCCAGTCTGGTGATGGCTGCTCGGGGAAACGCTCTGGTCATGTGATCCTTTTTTTCTCTCCTCCTCCGAAGTTGAAAGGCAGGAGCAGCGAGTGGAGGGGTTTCTGCTCGCCTTTTCTTTTTCCCGTGGATGCAACGTTTTCTCCCCCTTCTCACCGCCTTTTTGTTAGTTTTCCACTCGGTGTCACATATATTTTTATACACAGCAATTCCGTCACGATGGCGGGGGCTATTATTGAAAACATGAGCACTAAAAAGTTGGTGATAGTGGGAGTTATTCTGCTTTTGTTTCAGGCGTTCGCGTTCATGGTCGGCGGTTTAATTGGTAAGTTTGATCTTCTTCTTCGTTGTTTTTAAATCCGGTGAGTTCTTTTCTTCTTCGTCTGACTTTTTAGCCTGTGTGTGAGTGCGCGCGCGCGCCTGTTGCAACGCTAACGTTAAAACGTAGACGAACGAATAAAAAGCAGCAACGACTCAAGTTTGTGTTCGTTGAACACACTCAGCCGGTAATAAAGGTCTTGACGGAAGCCTGAGGCGACTGAAGGTAACTTTTATCACCTTGGTGTTGAACTGCGCACACATTCCGCGGGAGAGGAGCACCCTCCGCCAAATCAGTGCTGATGAAGGTGTTCGCACCGCTGCCGTCGTTTCTTTGGATAAACATGAGGACACGGCCTTCAAGGCTCATTTACATGACTTTACACCCAAGTGCTCAAACACCCAGTCTCCTGCGTTGTTTACTGAACGCTGCTTAAAGGCGAAGGCGGGCGAACATGTTTTAGCGCATGTTCGCGTGTTGATCAGCACAGCACTGTGGCCGACCGTGCTGTTTTAAAGCGCTTTATAAATAAAGTTGTATTGTATTGTAAAGTATCATCTTGTAACCCCCCGGACAGGTTTTAATAAGTGGATGCACATGTACAGCTGAATAACTTGTGGAGTGGACCACATCCAACATGGCTGCCACAGCTGGTTGACCTGAAGATGGCTCAGCTCACTCACTTCTCTGTGTTTGGAGCTGAAATCTGGTGTGGTGATAGCTGAGACTGCCCCCAACTCATGCAATGAGCAGGAACAGATTTGTGCTGGTTTTTGGTTAAACATTTGTCAGTAACTGTTTAGTTAATGCTGTCCGTTAGCAAAATATCCCTCAAACCACTGGGAAGAGTCTAATGACGCTTTCAGAAATTGGATGTTACATCTACAGTTTATTAACCATTGACGACGACACTTTTCAAGATGGCTGCCACAACCAACTGACCTTAACATCCTGAGACCCTGGCTTCATATGATCACATCATTTGTTTTCCCTAAAATGACTTCCAGGGGACGGAGATGGGGCAGAGGCAAGGCAGGCGACCTGGGACTCCAAAGTCCCAGGCTTGATCCCCAGCCATTCCCACATGTCTCGGTGCCTCTGAGTAAGACACCCAATCCCTAATTGCTCCCTGGGCACCTACATAGCTGCCCACCTCTCCACCTGGGTGCATCCCAGGTACAATGGGTCAAATGCAGAGAACCAGTTTCATCATTGTATGTTCCCATACAGTGATGGGAACATACAATGATGGGAACATACAATGATGACAACACACAGCACTTTACTGTACCATGACACACTCTAGGTGTGTAACTTATTAGGTCCTACTAGTCTCATGTACCTTGGAGAAAGGGAACATGCACACCAAACAAAAGCTTGGATCTCAGGAGGTTAAAAAGAGTCAATTTGAGTCAGTTTTACTTACAGTTGTTGTGTTACCATTTAGTGTGGTATTCTTTGCATTTATGCTTTAGACTTCTGTCAACCCTGTTTGTTATCAAATTATCTCAAGAACCACTTGATGAATTGTATTAAAACCTTCAGAAAATAAGTATCACATGTACATCGACATCTGATTAATATTTAGGGTCAATTTAATTCAATATGTCCTCCACTGTTAATCACATTAGCAAACACAACCTTTATTTAACCAGGCAAGTCCCTCTGAGATCACAGATCTCTTTTGCAACGGAGGCCTGGGCCTGAAAGCAGCCTAAGATGCATGTTTTTACTGGGAGGAAACTGGAGTATCTGGAGGATTCCCACACAAACACCGGGAGAACATGCAAACTCCACACAGAAAGACCCCATGTTCAAACTGGGGATCAAACCCAGGACCTTCTTGCTGTGAGACAACAGTGCTAACCACTGAGCCATCGTGATGCCACAAAATGGCTCCACCAAATGGGATGTTGTTAGCTGAGATTCATTCATAACTCGTACTGTCACTGAGGCCGTGAGAGGTGGCAGGTGATGTGTATAAAATCTAAAATGTTCTGTTCACATGACCTGATTTAACTTTTTTCTGATTTATTCACCTGGATGATTGAGCTTGTATCAGGACTTTCCTTTCCCTCTCCCCCTCCTCCTCTTCTTTCTCCTTTTCTTCTTCCTCCCCCTCCCCCTCCCTCCCTCCCCCTCCTCCCCCTCCTCCTGTCTGTCTGCTGTGTTGGGTCCCCAGGCACCATCTCTTCCCACCTTGTACTCACCCATGTGACTGCACTTCTCCACAAATCCCTCTCTCCTTTCAGACCGAGTGTTTGTTTCATTCTTTTTACTGTCTCTGGCTCTTATTAGTTTTGAGACAGAGGTTTGTGCGCACGCACACACATGCACGCGTACATGCACACAGTTGTCACAGTTGAATTTTGCCTTGAGGTCTGAATAGGAGCTGCTGTCGAGTTTCTTCAAATCCACCCACTTGTTCTGTTATTTCTGCTATTTTCTCACACGTACGAACATGAACACTTACTCTGAGGCACACGAGTTGTTAAATGTCGAGCTTTTGTGAATGATGCCTGTTTGTTTGTTTATTTAGGACTGAATCCACCAGTCGTTTTATTGTCACCCGCTGCCAGAAAGTGGTCATGTATTTTGTGTTCGTCTGTGACGTTAGCAAAATATCTCACGAAGCAATGAACAAAATGTTTCATTGGATGTATGTCTTCAGCTGGTTGACTTTAGGTTCCAAGATAGCTGCTACATCCAAGCAATCCAGCATCCAGCATCCAGCTCATCCATCCATCCATCCATCCATCCATCCATCCATCCATCCATTATCTTTACCCACTTCTTCCATTTTGGGTCACGGGGGTCGCCGTGCCCATGTCCAGCAGTCACTGGGCGAGGGGCGGGGTACACCCTGGACAGGCTGCAAGTCCATTACAGTACAGCTCATCCAACTTTACAAATACAGATGTCAAATGTGACTGGGTAGTCGCTGAGTTATTTGCAACACGTACATTGAGCACAGATTGTGCAAAATTTGTTTAGAAAAATGTTGCCGATATTTATTAGTCAACACTTGTTTGTCAGCAAAACATCTCCAGAACCAGTGAACTAGGTTTAGTAAAACTCTCAATGTCATCATTAGATGTACATGTGGATGTACAAGATTAGATGTACAAGTAAGGAGTACATTCACGAGGATTAATCCTCACAAAGCAACCGGCCCAGACAACATCCGCGGGAAAGTGTTGAAAGACTGTGCTGATCAGCTCTACAAGGTGCTGGCAGACATCTTTAACACCTCACTTACCCTGGAGCCAGTTCCCACCTGCCTGAAGACTGCCACCATCATCCCAGTCCCAAAGAGCTCTACAGTGACTGGTCTGAATGATCATCGGCCAGTTGCCCCCACCCCGATAGTTGTTTAATGCTTGGAAAGACTGGTCATGACCCACATCAGAACAACCATCAACATCAACGAGGACCCTCATCAGTATGCATACCACGAGAACTGATCAAGAGAGGATGCCATCTCCTCTGTGGTCCACACTGCGCTCAACCACCTGGAGCAGAAAGACTCGAACGTCCGTATGCTCTTTGTGGACTTCACATCCGCCTTCAACACCATGATCCACCAAACCCTGATGGACAAACTACTCACACTAGGACCAAGCCCCTCCATTTGCAACTGGGTACTAGACTTCTTAACAAACAGACCACAGTCAGTGAGGATCCACAACTTATCCATCTCCACCATAACCTTCAGCACTGGCTCCCCTCAGGGATGTGTGTTGAGCCCCCTTCTGTTTACTCTGCTCACATATGATTGTGCAGCTACCCATCCAGGCTGTCACATTGTAAAGTTTGCAGATGATACAGCAGTGGTGGGATGCATCACAAACAACAAGTCCAGCTACAGGCAGGAGGTGGAACACCTGGAGAGCTGGTGCAGAGAGAATAACCTTCACATCAATGTGAAGAAGACGAAGGAGATGGTCACGAACTTCAGAAGAAACAAACACAGCTTTTGGTTGTTTTTCTTGGTTCATATCTTGGATCTTATTACTGTTTTTTTTTTTTACATTTTATTGTTGGATGTAACTGTGACCCTGTGTACACAATCTCATTCCACCATATGTACCACATGTGGTGGAATGACAAATGAAGAAACTCTGACACCCACAACTGATCGACTTACAGAGAAGATACAATTCAAGATGACCGCCACAGCCAACTGGCATTAGGAAACACAAAACTGTATAACTCAGCCAGGTTTATAAATAATAATCTCTAACGTGGTGTGGTAGTAGCTGAGAGTCATTCACAACATAGCGTGAGCAGTATGCGTTGCACAATATGTTAGCTTCAAACTTTGGCATTACCTGTTAGTCACTACTATGAATGGTATGGTATAAAGTTTATTCATTTAAAAAAAAAAAAACAATTCCATAAACTATATAAAAAATACAAGAGATTTAAAATGAAAGGCAGCAGAAAGAAGAAAAAATCTTACTACATCTGCCCCTTTTTTCAAACAGTTCAATCATAATAATCTTCAAGTAACAGAACAAAACGAATAACTCTTTCTAATTTTTCTAATTCTAATACAAAACACACTAAGCTACTTCATATATATATTTAAAATGAATGAATGGATGAAGGCTTTGTTTTTCAAACTGTAGGTAAAGCAACACACTGTTATGTTAAAACAAACAATATGAGAAACAAACAAAATAACTGATTGGAAAAATTAATGATAAGTAAAACAAGCAGTCTGAATAAAGCATAAAGGCTGAATGGAAGCCTATAAAGGCTCAGCCTTCTCACGTCTCATTATTTCACTTAAAACGAAAATCAAAATGGTAGCACTCCTCAAAACTGACTGATTTAGATGCCCATACTGTAATAAAAAAAGAACACAACAACAGAAAAGAGATAAATATTATCAGGTAGTATCATGTTGTTTGTTTTGTCTAAATTAAAGCCCCGACCGATATGGAAGTTTTGGCTATTGCCGATACCGATATTGGGAGGGGTAGGCTAATGCCGATAACTGA